GAAAGAGGTGTGGGAAGGCAACTCCCCATAATGGGTCTTTCACTTCTAGGGCAGGAGCCACCACAATGCAGCAGGTTGGTGGTCTATCCCAGTGGTTCTCAACTTTGTTAGACCCAAGGCCCCCCTTGGAAAATGCCAGCCCTTTGTTTTCACTCAATTTTTGACTATGGAAAAAATAATAGAGCAATCCCTCTGTTGCAAAGGGCTAGGAAAGGCCACAGTAGGCCAGAAAGGGAGGAGTTTTTGATACTTGGGGTACTAGGGATACTTAGTTTTTGATACTAGGGATTCCTGTTTGAAAGCTCTGGGTTTATCGTGTGAATCATGTGTAGGTGTTAGCACACCTAACTGTACCAATATTATGTGTCACGCTTAACATGATCTTAGTGCACCCCAGGGTGCCACCTGGCTGAGAATCACCGGTCCATCTAGCCCCATTCAGAGTGCTCCGGAGGCACCTTGCACAACTCCATCCTGTGCTGCTGTTGTGCAGGGGGCAACGTCTCTCCAGTGATCGTGATCATTAGCACTGAGACAAGGGCAGTAGACAGGGTAGCTTTAAGTGTTAAGTGGCTGTTTCTCCCAGGTGGGTGGTTTCTGATCCTATCTGACTGCAAACACTGATAGCAGGCTGCACAAAGCTGGTGCTTGGAAGAGGGTGTGACCTGTTGCCTCGGGCAGGTAACAAGAAAGGTACTTGATTGTTATTGTTCTACCTGCTACAGCAAGCCCTGGGCACATGCCAAGTGTGTCAAATGGGCCCTGAGCTGTGGGGAGTTGTGTCCTAGGATCACTCACCCATTGCAACCTCTCATGGTGGGAAGATGTAGATGGGGGAAATTACTTTTTCCCAGTCCCTCAGTGCCAAAATCCTCTGGTGCCTGCCAGGGCGGCAGCCAGCCTTCAGGACCAGCAGCTGCATGCAAGTGGAGAGTTTACTTCTGAGTTCTGCTCGGGGTCCTTGGGTCTGAGCTCACGTGGGGTTTCCTGTAGCATGAGCCTGCTTTGCTGTGTGCTGCCTTCCTCTGTTTTTTTCCAGTGCGTAGGTTTGTTGTGCTGCCTTGTGCTCTGGGGGTGGGTTTGAAAGCTGGCTTCTGGCGACAGCATGTCATTGAGTCATGGCCTGGCTTAGAGAGGCCCAGTATTTCTGAGTTTTGAGTGAGTTTTGATCATCTGAGAGAAATGTATCACTGGCAATATTGCCAACCCCACTGTGTCAAAAATCATGAGACAAACTCTAAAAAAAATCAAGAGATTTGGAATGTAAATCATGAGATGCTATTTTTGAAGTATGTGTGTGTGGGGACGAGGGGTTATTTGTGAAGGTGTGGGGGGCTATGGGTGCGTGCGTGGGGTTTGGAGCTTGGGGAGGAGGGGTCCATGCACACCCTGGCAGGATGCGGGGTATTGTGTGTCAGGAGTGAGGGGCAGCAGCAGGGTTGCGGGGGCTGTGACCTGGGAGTGATGGGCAGATGCACAGACACATGCACACGCACAGACAGCCACCCAAGTCTCTGATGCATGATTCGCCCTAGTCCCAGGGCCCCGTTCACCCCCTCCCTGTAGGGGCCTCAATCTGTCCCTTCCCCTCCACAGACTTACCGCTT